AAAAACAAATCTCACTTTACACAATTCAATACTGTTGTAGTTCAGTATAATAAGTTATTCACATCTTTATGTTATTTATTTATATTAATTTGTTATGCGGGGAATTCGGAGAGGATAAAATCCTCTTTTGGCATGCAAATCTCTCGCGATATGGATCATATAATCAAGGTAGGTGATCAAACAACTTCTCATCTTAACGAATTTGAGTTTATCTCCAACTCAATCACGCAACTAGTACTATATAAACTTAGTTGTAATTTATTTTTAGGGATGAAAAACAAGATGCATAAAGCAAACTGTTGCCTCTTTGTAAACCAGATTACATTCAATAATATAATAGTGGATGTAGACCTTGCATTACGAGTAGCCGAACCACTTTAAAAATTCTCTTTTTGTTCTTTGTGTTCTAGATTAATTCTAACTTATCCATTATTATGTTGTTTTACCGTTGATCCACTAGGATCGCGCACACATCTTACGTGATTATAACTTTGTCAATCACGTACCTCTAGTTGATGTAAATCTTTGCATCAACACACTTCAATTTATAACAGAGCACGTGTAAATACTGTATATAGGAGTTTGTTAGACTTGTACAGGTGTCATTTGTTCATTGGTTGTACAGCTGTAGACAAATTGTATTTTTGGTCGAGTCTATTTCTTCCCTGCTATTTATATCAGCAGTTTTACCTCCTCTGTAACTTCTTCGATTAATCAGTGAAGTAATCTTCTTCTCCTTTTTCTTCTCTATGTTCTTGTTCAATATGGTATCAGAGCAATAAAGTGCTTCTTGTGCGTCCTCGTTCTGGAATTTCTCATTCCTTCATGTTCTTGATTTTCGATCCATGTCCTCTGTGGTTCGTTTGTTCTCTTCTGGTTTTCATGGCAAACGATTCTTCTTCTCAATCTGATCCTTCGTTTCATCGAGGATCAATTCCGCCATTGAAGATGGTTCCAGTCCTTATTATCTTCATCATTCAGATAATCCAAGGCTAATTCTTGTGTCACAACCACTAACTGAAGACAATTACACTGCGTGGAGTTGAGCTATGGTGATTGCTCTGTTAGTCAAGAACAAGTTAGGGTTTATTGATGGATCCATTCCTCGTCTTGATGGTAATGATTCTCTTCTCAATTCTTGGATCCGGAACAATAACATGGTTATTTCTTGGATTCTTAACTCTGTTTCTAAGGAGATTTTTGCTAGTGTTATATACTCCAATTCTGCTTATGAAATGTGGTCAGATCTTAAAGAATGTTTTCAGCAGAAAAATAGACCTCGTATTTTTCAATTGAGGTGTGATCTGATGAATCACACTCAAGTTTCATCTTCTATCGATGCTTATTTCACCAAATTGAAAACAATTTGGGAAGAACTTAGTAATTACAGGCCTTTCTGTTCTTGTGGAAAGTGTGTTTGTGGAGGAACTAAAGCACTTGCATATCATTATCAAATGGAGTATGTTATGAGTTTCTTGATGGGCTTGCATGATTCTTTTGCTCAAGTGTGTGGTCAATTGCTATTAATGGATCCAATTCCTCCCATCAACAAGGTTTTCTCCCTTGTTTCTGAAGAAGCACATTAGAGGCTATGGAGACTAACAACACCTGTACAATTCTAACAAACTCTTATATACAATATTTACAGGTGCTCTGTTAATTTATATATATAAAAAAAACCATATAGGTAATTTGTATGTGCAATATATTATGTTTTATGGTAAATAAATATATAGAAATTAACGACATGAAATAAGATAGAGGGTCATATAATATCACGACATCATGAAGTACAATTACAAACATTCCATCAAACGTTTGTTTACTAATTAAGAAGCTATATGTACTAATAATTAAGTAGTACATAAGATAAGTTAATTATTGAAAATTTTTATATAGCTTTACTCCAAAAATATTGACATAACAATTGTAAAAAAATATTTTAAATAAGAAATTGAAAAACTTATAAATATTATAAGTATAAAATTCTGTGGAGATGCTTAATTAAGGTGGCGTTTGATGTTTTATTTAAAAATTCAATTTATATTGAATAATTTAAAATTATAAACTTATGTAGGTAATATCTTAAAAATATACTAGACCTTTGTTATTTTTTATGTTATTATTTTCTCCATATATATATACTGTATTTGTCTCTTTCTTTAAATTTAATTGCCAAAACATATATCTGTTCTTGTATTTTTTCTTTCTCGTTTGTTCTTTTATCGATACTCGTTCCCATATATCTAGCCCATGTGTTTGGGTTTGTGGAGGCCCAACCCAATTAAACTTTTAAAAGTTTATTTCTAGCCCATCCCAACTAACAATTTAAAAGGGAAGTGATTTTTTTTAATCCCTATCAAGTTTTTTAGCATGACCCGCTTTTAAATGTTTTTTATTTTGATAAGTTTTACTTGAATGAAAATTATTAGATAAGATATTATAATTCTATATATACTTATACTCTATAAACTTATTGAAGCTTATAAAAAACTCTTCATAAACCCCACATAACAAAAAACTCTTAAAAAAAATTAATGTATAAACATAAAATTTAAGCGAAAAATGTGATTGTACGAAACTAGAATGGTTCTATTTATCACAAAAATAGAGTATCTGCTATCTGCTACTAGTGGAAGCTAAGCTTCCCTAGACAAGTTTAATTCTCAAGTGTGTTTGGTTTTGATAATGTTTTATTACAAAAAAAAAAAAAAAAAGAAAATGATTACCAATGAGATACATAACCTTAAAGGGGCATTTGACTAGGGCTTTTGGAAGATTACTCCGGTAATCTATCTTTTAATCCAGTCATTACATTGTTTGGTTCAACATGGGCGTTTGGATCACATGGTGCGTTTGGTTCCATATTATTATCCATATTTCCAATCTTATTCCCCAGATATCATTTGACACATTATTTGAGAAATATTCTAGTATTTTTTTAATTGCTTTTAGACCCCTTAAGTTTATTAATTTCATTAAATACTCCTAGAAAAAAGTTTAAAATTAGCAAAAACACCCCTACCCACCCATACTTACTAGATTCCGACAACCATCGTCGGTGGTAGTCAGAATCTATCACAATGACTTACACCACGACCGAAACTAGCCGGTAATTCACCGATCTGGCCGTCAGCAACAGCCAAGCCATCGTTGACCAACAACGACGGCCAACGATGGACTTTTGCGGTCTTTGACAGCCACATCTGGCTGTTGATCTAGCCGGAAAAGGCCATGTCGATGCTTTACGACACAGATCCGACCGGTCTATGTCATAACATAATTTTCTGGCCAGATTCCGACGGTGGTGGCCAGAATCTGGCACTACGGGTGGTGGGGGTGTTTTTGTCATTTTACAAATTTTTTATATATTGGGGTGTTTAATTAAATTAGCAAACCTAGGGGGTTCTTTTTTTAAATTTTTAAATTTTACCTTGTAATACTCCCCTATCCAACTACCCAATATTATTCCCAAAATCCTATCCAAAATAATAAACCAAACGCACCCCAATGTTTTATTATAGGGGAATGTTATATTAACGGAAAAATACATCACCTTAAAGATTACTGAGAATGTTTAGAAAATGTATTTGGTTGGTTTGAATAAATTTGTGAATATTATGTTTGGTTGAGAGATAAATGAGTGGGTATGTTATATAGATGACTAAATTGCCCTCCTTTTTAAATATTAATATATTATTATTTTTGAATAATTTCTTTTAACCCCCTACATTTGAAATTTTGCTAAAACACCTAAGCCATATAAAACTTTAATTTGTAGCAAAATCATCCCCACCCACCTCAGGCCATTGTCGGCAGCCAGCCACCATCGTCGGCTACTGGTGGCAGTCGATGGAATGGCACACGATTGGTCGTATATGGCGATCGTGCACTGGCAAAGCCATTTCCAGTTTCACGACTAGATATATGACCATTTCATGGCCAAAGATGTGGTTGTGAAAATGCTAGATCTTTGGTCGTGAAATCTGTGGCCGTTTCACGACCACATCTTTGGCTGTGAAACGACCATATTTGGTCGTTTCTGGCTATGGATCACAAATCCATGGTCGGAAAAGGCCTTGTTGGTGCACAATTGGCCAGATCCTGTTGGTCATGCACTGTTACGGTGCCGACAACTGGCGGTGGTGAGTAATGGCCGGTGGTGGTCTTGGGTGGCTGAGGGTATTTTGTTAACATTTCAATTTTTTGTGGCTATGATGTTTTAGCTAATTTCTCAAATGTAGGGAGGTTGAGTAATTGTTATTTGATAGACATTTGAAGGCAATTGTGTCCAAAATGGTATTTAATTAAGGGTAAAATAGGTATAAAAATCAGATTACCTAGTAATCTTTTAATCCCAAGGGTGGGGAAGGGTATCAAATTAACCCCCATATTACCAGTAGCAAACACTATTTGCAATAAAAGATTCCCGTAATATTTTATTACTTGCAAACCAAACACCGAAATCTTGCAAAATAAACGAAGATTATTCCCGTTATCTTATATGCCTCCAATCCAAACACACCCAACATGTAATAAAAGATTTCGGTAATATTTTATTACTCAAGTTATATGAGAGGTGATATAGGGGGTTATGTGATTACTGACTCTAAGGGTGGTATTTTAATATTAATGTGGTAATCCTATTTTTGTTCCAATTTTACCTTTACTTAACAAAAATTTCGAACATAACTGTCCTCTAATTGATGTCAAATAACAATTAACCTAACTTGTTGAATGATTTCTTTAACCTCATTAATTAATTATTTGGACAAAGATGCCCCATATTTTAACATGATTATATATATATATATATATATATAATATCTAATTATTTTGTATATTGTAAACCAAATACATTAATTATTTATACAGCCCACACAAATCAAACACAATAATAATTTATTCTCATTAATTATTTTCATATAAAATGTATTATCCTTTTCTTATTTGAGCCAATTTTGAAGAAATTAGCTTAAAACGTAGAAGAATAAGGAGATAAGGATGAGAAACTACCTAAATTAATACCTTACCCAGAAAAATAGACGTCAAATTTCACTTTCCTAACTATCTTCCTTTTCTCTTTTCTTTGACGTCTATTTTTCATGGGTAAAGAGAGAAGGAAGAAGCAAGAGCCTGAAAAGAGAAAAAGGAAGAAGGAAGAGAAAAAGGTGAAAAGATAAAAAGAAGAAGGAAAAGAGAGGAAAAGCTGTAGATCGACTGGAAAATCATTAGGAAAGTGAAATTTGACATCTATTTTTTGTGGGTAAGGTATTAATTTGGGTAATTTCTCATCCTTACCTCTTTATTCTTCTAATTTAGGGATTTAAGTTAATTTCTTCATAATTGGCTCAAATGGGAGAAAGAGAACAAGATTTTTAGAGGGGTTTCACTATTTGGGTTGAGTTTCACGAGTTGTGAGTGGAAAAATCTTAAACCTTAACTTTTACTTTAATAAAAGTTATTTCAATGTCTATTAAGAATGATTATTGATTTATTTTGCCATAATCATTTGATTTCTCTATGGAAATGAGCTTTAATACAATTTTTTTTTTTTTTTTTTTTTTGTTGATTGACAGGAGAAAGATTGAATTTTTGATGTTTTTGGGCAAGATCGGATGATGATGTGAAAATTGGGTTAAATTGTCAACCTGAAAACATGTTTGGAAACCTACATTTTTACCCCATATAATATGTGATATTTTAATGTTGCTACATATGTTTCCACAATGAGAAATGGCATAAGTTTTGTAGTAAATAATGTTTGGAGAGCATATGTATGATGATAATGGTTTTCAAACTACCCTACGTAGTACCCATCCCTCTCATATTCAAATTGGCTCTGCGCATGCATATGATTAGTTGTGATTCCGCCCGAGCGATGTAGGATGCTGTTGGGTGTGATAGATTTTGTATGCCAGCTCGAGCGATGCAGGATTCCACAAGGTCGAAGTGCTTGAGAAATGCAGAATTCCACTAGGCTAGATGGACTTAGTGTAACTACCACGCGATGCTAGATTTTGCTGGGCAGGACAATTTATCCCTGGATACTAGTTGTGATGGGAAATTTCAGCATGGGCTGTGAGAGATGCCTCAGATTTACATGATGTACTTCTTAAAAAAAAAAAAAAAAAATATTTAGAGTTTACATGTATAAAGGTTTCATTACATACTTCGCCCCGCGCCCCGGTGGGAGCAGTGCTGAGGAGCGATTGCACACGAGGTTGGGCCACACGACATCATCCCATGTTTTGATTGTAAAAGAATATAAAAAACCCGATACCATGTGTTTTCAAAACTGAGATGTATTTGTGGACAAGTTTAATTATGATGAAAGGAATGGGAAATGTTTTAGGATGTTATCAAGAAAAACAGGTTTTATGGTTTCAGCTTTCTTACATGACATATCTTGGTCACTCAAGTCTCATGTGTACGCCCGGAGCTTGTGGGATAGGGAGGGTTAGGGCGGGTCGTGTCAAATCTGAAACATTGAGGCTATTCCCACCACTTCCATGTAACAATAGGACTGCAATGGCAGCAGACAGCCTTCCAAGCGGCCATAATGTAAAGAAAAACTCATTGACTTTAGTGTCTTTGTATGCAATGGGAAGAATAAAATGGATTTGGGGAGAGGATTGCGAAGAATTCAAGCCAAAGAGATGGATTGCTGAAGATGGAGGGTTTAAAAATCACCCAAGAAACAAATTTTCTGCCTTCAATTCAAGGCCGAGAATTTGTCCAGGAAGGAAGTTACTTTTATCCTAATGAAGGCTGTTGTGGCTCCTATTTTTCATAACTAGGATGTTGAGGTAGTAGGAAATCAAGAGGTGATCCCCAATTTTAGTTTCGCCTTATCCTTGAAGCTTGGGTTAATAGCTAGGATTAGGAGTAGATCATCTTGATGCAGGCTGTTTTGTATTCTATTTTAATATAAATTTGACAACTTTGACTCTAATAGAGAAAAAACCAGTTTTCGCCAGAAAGGATACAGCACCTCTACTAACATTGCTTTGAGTCAAAACACCTCTCCTAACATTGGTTTGAGTCAGGAGAGATGCGAGGAAGAAAATTGGTCGCAAAAGCAGGTTATTATTATAAAGAAAATTGGTCGCAAAAGCAGGTTATTATTATAAACTTTTTTATAAAGTACGATTGCATGAGGAAAAAATTATTATGTAATTGATCATGTATTTCTTTCTAGCCTTTAATATTGAGGCAATCTTCTAAGACATAAGTAACTAAAAGGAGTCTAGCTAGTACCATTGAGCGCAAAATAACGAATAATTTATTAATTTTATTAGTAAAATATAAAAAAGACAATGAAACATGCACATACATACAAGTAATTACAAAATATATTTGCATTATAGTTAAAAAAAATTATAATTTACGTAGCAGTATTTTATTTATGATTTGTTTATATCAACAATAAAGAGAAAGGTAAGCTCTGAGAACTCCATAAGCATTATCTGCACCATCCCATGTTTTCTCCTTTATACTGCATATTTTTAGCTCTTGTTTCTGCACTTCCCGTCACTGTTACTTCTGCATTTCACCTGTTTTTACTGCTAAAAACACACAAAACACAATTGCTATGACTTGTAATTATAACTATAAAATTATCTCTTCTAAGTAACTTCATTAACACTTGAAGCTGATTGTTTTCAAATCTTCACAACCATGATTTTACTCTTAGCCTGCCTTCTATGCATGTTCTTGGCCATTACTTTCATTCTTTTTCTCAGATTTTACAGAAACAGCAACAAGCTGGCCCTCCGCCATTTGCCCATCTTCGGACTTTTGCCTGAAGTTCTTCTTGATCTCCACCTCTTCCATGACAAACTGAGTAAAATTTTGAGGACAAGAAAGGGCACAATCCTCATCAATTACTGGCTATCGCCAAACAGTATCTTACTTACCAGTGATCCTGCTAATGTCCACTACATGCTCACCACAAACTTCTCAAGATATCCCAAAGGCTCCGAATGGCGAAAGCGATTCGATGTTTTTGGCCATGGTCTTTTCAATTCTGATTTTGAAGAATGGACGTTGCAAAGAAAAGCTGCCCGGGGATTCTTAACTCACGCAAAGTTTCATCAACTTACTGCGAAAAGTGTCCCTGAAATTATCGAGGAAGGACTCATCCCAGTTCTTGAACACGCCTGTAAAAAAGATTTAGCTGTGGACTTGCAGGATTTGATAAAGAGGTATACATTTGATTATGCGACGATTATCGCCAGTGGTTGTAATTCAAAATCTCTCTCTGTTGAATTGCCGGAAATACCATTTTCTAAGGCGTTAGATGATGCGGGTGAAGCGATATTCTTTCGGCATATTGTGCCTGAAACGTTGTGGAAGTTGCAAAGATGGTTGAGAATTGGGAAAGAGAGAAAATATAGAGATGGTTGGAGAGTTATTGATGAATTTTACCAAAATCTTGTGAATAAACAAGAACCGAGCAAAGATGAAGAGAGTTTCAATGTTTTGAACCTTTACTTGAACCGAAATGAAATCCTTCAACCAAGAGATAACGATGAGGAAGTCATGAGAGACAACATAATCAGCCTTATTTTCGCCGCCGAAGACACGACAAGTACAGCAATCTCTTGGTTCTTCTGGCTTGTGTCAAAAAATCCTGAAGCTATCAGTAAAATCAGAGAAGAACTAAAACTCAACGCGGCGCCAAAAGACGCCAACAAAGGCGATAAGGATCGTCCTCGTTCATTCGATTTCGATGAGCTGAGCAACCTTGTTTATCTCCATGCAGCTTTATGCGAATCCCTGAGGCTATTCCCATCGATTCCTTATGAAACCAGGACGCCAACACAACAGGACAAGCTTCCAAGCGGACACAGAGTGAATCAGAAGACGATAGTGATAATTTGTTCATATGCAATGGGGAGAATGCCGTCAGTGTGGGGCGAAGACTGCCATGAATTCAAGCCGGAGAGATGGATAACAGAAGAGGGAAAGATTAAACATGAGCCATCTCATAAATTTTTTGCCTTCAACACGAGGCCAAGAATGTGTCCCGGCAAAGAAATTGCTTTCGTCGTAATGAAGGCAATTGCTGCGGCTATAATTTATAACTATGATATTCAAGTACTAGAAAATCCCCCTGTGATTCCTAGTCTTAGCATCAGTTTACGCATGAAACATGGACTAATGGTTAGGGTTAAGAGGAAATCGTCATGAGCATAGATCAAAAGTTGTTTTGAGATTAGAATAATGAGTATTGACAGTTGCAGATGTATTGATACTACATTAATTATACGATAATGATATGAAAGTGTTATTTTATTATGGTTAAACTTTTGAATCCTATATTATATAGTGTTACTCAATTTTCTTGAAGAAAGATTATAGCCCAGTACTGCATTCTAGACTTTTCCAATGCTTTCATATAGGGGTAAAAATTTTCAGTTAAGAGTGATGCTCTTATACTTGTTATGTAGAAGTTGTTTTGGCATTAATTGATCAGTGTTAGAATAAACTAAGAGTTCAGATGGGTTAAATTGTAAGAAATGAGAGTCAGATAGAAACAGTGTATTTCATACAACGGCTATATAGCCACCTCTCTCTTGTAAAAGTAAGAAAATCAGTTTTAATTGAAACATAATTCTCTCTTCTTCTTCGTTCTTTACTCTGGTTTTTCTTTCTTTGTTTTTCTAGGATCGAACACTTTCATGGTATCAGAGCCCTGGACACACATCTTTGGCAAATTTAAAACCTTGATCCTGCAAGTTTGGTCTCAATTTCTTACAAAATGCAAACGGATTCTGTACATTCAATCAATTCAGCCGTTCCACCATCTCTGCCATCAATTTCTGTAAACTTGGTTGAAAAGAACTACACCTATTGGAGGTCGCAAATCCTTCCGGCTCTTGCTTCTCACGAACTCGAAGGTCATGTAACGGGTGATCAAATGTATCCTCCGATGTTCTTAATTGAGAAATCTGATGATTCTGCACAATCAAGCAAGAGAGGAAACCCTGATTACTTCACTTGGAAACGAATTGATCAGTTCCTAGTTAGTTGGCTAATCTCTTCCATATCTGAATCAATGTTTCGTCATTTTGCTAAGTGTTCTACTGCTTATGAGATCTGGACTACGCTTGAATTGCATTTTCAATCTGTCTCAAAAGCTCAAACTTTATATTTGAGAAGTCTTTTGCTAAGTACTAAAAAGGAATCTCTCATATAATGAGATGTGTTGCGAATGAAGGAGCGTAAGGATGAATTAACTTAGTGGGTTCCAATTTGTGATGAAGAGCTCTTATTGTATATCTTAGATGGATTGGGACCTCAGTAAGACGCTGTTATTGCTAACCTTACTTCCAACAGTAGTCAGCTCACTCTAAGAGGGCCAGTTTTTACTTCATAAGCACGAAATAAGACTGAGAGACAACATAATGGTATTCTAGTTTTCATGACATTTAGTCTAAGCTCTTGTAGTCGAAAATAGAACAGGTGATATATTGTAAGTTCTTAAGTTAAAATTTCCTCTTCAGGAGGAGAACTCAAGCTCACCAGTTAGTTTACCTTCAAATTTGGCGTCCAAACCCTCAGGGTTTCTAGGCTTCTCCTCCTTTAAGTGCCTCACAATCACCAGCTATCTACAAATATCCCTTTTTGGGCAGTGGCATTTCTCAAGGGAGTACAGACCTGATTACATCTCAATTTACAGCCTCATTTCCTCGCTATTCTGGAGTATA